CTGGTGGGTTGGACTTGATGATCTCCGGAGGTCCCTTCCAACCCCTAACATTCTGTGATTCTGTGATTTAGGCTTCTCTGAGGTTTTTTGTTTGTTTGTGGTTTTTTTGTTTGGTTTTGGTTTTGGTTTTGGTTTGGTTTTGGTTTTTTTTTGGAAGTGTGAAGCTTTGTCTCTCAGGAGTAAAGACACCATGTTATGGCACTCTCTCTTCCTAAACCTTACACTCCAGTAATCTGTGGGAGAATTATTTCAATCTCCTTTACTTTACAGACTGTGACCAAAAATAAAGAAAGATGAAATTTTAGAATAAGATCTTTCTGAAGCTCAGTTTTGCTTTATAATGAATTCTTTAAAATATTTTTTTCATTTAAAAATTAGATGGATTCCTTCTCTTATTACTTCTCTTATTGAAATGATGCTTTCAGAACAAATTCACAAGCAGCCTGAGAATTGCAGTTGAGAATTGCTCGCTAATTTTATTCAGAATGTTTTTTGGGCTCCAATGAATTTCTCAAAGAAGTTCATTTTACATTTCAAATTTGTAATAAGATTTAATTATTTTTAAAAAATAAAAATTGTAAAGAGTTTTCATACAGCCATTCTAGCTTTGTTCTTTTTTTCTAATTGAAATGAGAATGAGGAATCTCAAAGGAAGGTTTTTGGAGGCGTTTTGCAAGACGTGTGCTCTGAATTTGTGTTCCGTGAATGCTCGATAACCTCTGTCCATAGCACAGACTACACTCAATCCATACACGTGAAAGGTAATTAGGAAAGAGTAATGATAATGTGTATTATATTCTTTCCCTTAGGTCTGTTCTGAATATCAATTAAGCTAGCAACTGAACAGTAGTATATGCAGCTGCCTTTACCCAACTTTCTTCAAATTATTTTTTCAAGGTTCTAGATGTGCTTTGCTCTCTCTGTGTCTGTAATGGAGTTGCAGTTCGTGCCAATCAAAACTTGATCTGTGACAATCTGCTACCTAGAAGAGACTTACTTCTGCAAACACGTTTGATTAATGATGTCACAAGGTATACTGACATGTTTTATTGATATATTAGAAAAAAATTTAACTTACAAGTCTTCAATAATTAAAGGACATACAGTAACCTAAGAGATGTTCCACAGGTTTCAATATTGAGACACAGACCTTAGGAAGTGTTTATTTATCAACTTCTGAAAACCCCGTATTTATTAACGATTTGGGTAATTGTAATGAAAACTGCTCAAATAGAAATTGCTAATTAATAGTTGTGGCAGTTTAGCCCCAGGTGGGAGCCAGGCACCACATGGGCACTCGCCCACCCCCCAAACAGGAGGGAGAAAAGGGAGGAAAATACAAGCCCCTGTGGGTAGAGACAAAGAGAATTTCATATAACAACACAGAGGGAACAGTAAACAACAGCAGTAACAATATAGATAGCAATATATAACAAAGGATACAAGGGAAGTGATCAGCACCCTGTGTCCAGCCCAGCCCTTCTGCCACGGGCATGGGGTCCGCAGGGCAGGGAATAACCCCCCGGTTGCTCTGGCTGGCTGCCCCAGGTAGAGCTCCTGCCTGGCTCCAGGGGAAAACCAGACCTAGCCCAGCCCAGCCAGGACAATAGTAATGTCTGCACTGGAACTGAAAGATAAAAGTTGCTTGTTTTTCATTCTAAACAGGGCACAGCTTTATCAAATAATTACCATGGAGTATATAAATATATAAATACTGTGAAGTACTTGTGTGTTTTAAGATGGATTTGATTTCCTGACAACCTCACTTCTGTGGTTTTCTTTGGTTTTTTTTAGGAAGTGTTCTTGTTATTCCTCTTTTGACTATAAGTTTTTCAAAGTAGGAAACCTAAACCTTAGAAGATGATTCTACAGCAGCTTTATAAAGTCATAAAATGGGTCACTGTTTCAAGTATTATAAGCAAAATGTGGACATCTGTATTCTTACTGAATTTGCAACGGGAATTTGACTATTGCACAGCAATATAATTCAGATGTTGTGTTGTATGTTTACACTAACTGGCTTACATTTTCTTTCTTAGCATAAGGCCAAACATATTTCTGGGTGTTGCTGAGGGCTCTGCACAATACAAGAAGTGGTACTTTGAGTTAATAATTGATCAGGTTGATCCATTCTTGACGGCAGAACCCACCCATTTACGAGTTGGATGGGCCTCAACTTCAGGTTATGCCCCTTATCCCGGAGGTGGAGAAGGATGGGGAGGCAATGGTGTTGGTGATGACCTGTACTCCTATGGTTTTGATGGCCTTCATCTGTGGTCTGGTAAGTACTTTGTTCACTTCCACTTCTTCTTACATTTATTTAGGAGTTACCTAATGTAAGATTTTGTTGTAAATGACATTTTGTAATTTGTTTCACCAGAAATTTACCTTTCGATGTATCCTGTAAACATCTGTTAAAATTTGTTCAAATAACTTCAAAAAGACTTCAGTAACAGCACACTCCCTAGATCTGTCTTAATTTAATATCTGTCTCAAGTGTGTAGCCTTCCGTGAGCATTTTCAAGTTTATGGAAAAAAATAGACATTATTTCAGTCCTTGTGTGTACAATCTTTAATTTTGAAGTAGCAAGTTATTTTTCCTTCCAGTTTTCTCTTGCATACATAATGAATGGTGGCTATCTTCTGGCTTGCTCAATTTGTGACTTGTGCTTTTTTTACTGGATGCTATTCAAGGAAGGTAGGCAAAACTAAACTAATTTCTTAGTGCCTTAAAATGCCACATACAGCTAAGTACTCTTTACTTGCTCAGAAAAGGATAGTGTGGGGACATGCAATTAAAAGGTGTGTTGAAAATATAGCATATATAAAGAAACTGAATTTGATTTTATGGCCTTAATTCTAATCTTCCCTGATCTGGGTGTCTTTGACTTTTCAATTATATTATAATTGTTCTATCATAGTATTTTGTGTGTAAAATACCTCTGTGTGTACACACATTTTTGGGAATAGGCTGGGAGACATCTGTAATATACTCCATTAGAAATGGCTGAATAAATCATTAATACAAAATTAAACACTAATTGAACCTCAGGAATACAATGCTGGAAAGTCTCTTAAATCTCATCTCCTGCAGTAAGGGAAAATTCAGAGTACTTGAACTATCCTGAACATTTGACTCGACTTGTTCTTAAGAATTTCCAAACAAAGTATTTTGAAATAGTGCTTAACTTCTTAATTAAAATGTCATTAAAGTTAAAATACAGTGTTTTCATGGGAATTGTATTGAAAAGAATTCTGAGGCTATATTCCTTGGGTAAAAACACACTCCTATGCTCAAGTGTGGGGTTCTTTATGGAGGTTTGTTTGTTTGGGGTTTGTTTTTGTTTTTTTTTTTAAATGCAGTTATCTGGAAATGAGTATAGCTGGGTTACTTCACATACATTTATGTCTGGTTAATTGTTACTATAATTGCTGAGTTCTGTGCATGGCTGTAAGCTTCCAGCTTCCCAAGTAGGGAAAATGAAGCTCCTTCTGTTTAGTGTACAGCCATAGCTGATAAAGAAAACCCAGCCCACTAAGTTCCTGATCCATTTTTTGACACTCGGTATACAATTCTGCCTCTTGATACTGTAAACCTGGATATTGGTCATAATCACAGTTCCAGTAAAACTATAGAATGTTTTGGACTGGAAATGACCTTTAAAGATTATCTAGTCCAACCCCTGTGCCATAGGCAGGGACACCGCCTACCACATTGCTCAAAGTGCCACCCAGTGTAGCCTCGAACACTGCCAGCGATGGGGCATCCACAGCTTCTCTGGGGAGCTTGTTCCACTGTCTTACCACTGAACATTTACAGATATGTGAATCTGGTATTTCACAAATAACTAAAGAAAAAAAAACAACTGGATATATCAATGTTAGCTTTATAAGGAAGCCATCATTTACTGTGCCTCAGTACTCTTGCATCAGGCTATAGTGTGAACTTGTGTAATTTCAGCTGTGTGTGTTCCATCTTGTTGAGCAGTGTCAGAGGTTCTCAAGTGAATTTGAGACATATCAGTTTGAAGAATAGTGTTTCACTGTCTCTAAAAGCAGAAGCCTTCATAAAAAAGATGAAGCAAGATCGTGTCTTCATGACTACGAAAAAAACTTGGTGTGCTTAAGGAAATAATTTTGTTGTTAAGTCTGTGAGAGTCTGCTTAAAGCTTGTAAATACTGAATGCTTTTATTCTAGGTCGAGTACCCAGAGCTGTAGCATCTGTCAACCAGCATTTATTAACATCTGATGATGTGGTTAGCTGCTGCTTGGATTTAGGTGTACCCAGCATTTCATTCCGCATTAATGGACAGCCTGTGCAAGGAATGTTTGAGAACTTCAGTACAGAAGGGTTTTTCTTCCCTGTTGTAAGCTTATCAGCAGGTGTAAAGTAAGTACATCTTAATTTTAATAATTATTTCTGTTACTGTCTTGTCACATGAAATATTGTCCAAATTCATCTATGATTTGTTTTATTTTGTTGTTTCAGTTCTGTCCAACCAGCAGCTGGGAGGGAAGGAGGCAGGAAAGTACTGATTTGTTAAGTGATTATTTCATTTAAGGGTGAAATGTGAGCCTATTAGCAATTTGACCAAGTCACAGTGTCTGAAAATTATTATTTTATGTGTATTTGGTGACCTAAGGAAAATTAATTTTGTCTCATTACAATTATCAGTGAGAAAAAAAAGCACATTAGAGACACAGCACCACATCTGGCACTGATTAAAATTCTTACTGGCTTTCTCAGCAAGAATTAAGAAAACCTAAATGATCATGAAAATGGGTACTATCTTCACAGTAGGAAACACAAAGAACTGATGAGATTCAATTTTGGAATCTTGTTACCAATATTGCCATTTCTTATATGTTTTGTAGCTAAAGTACTGAGATTTAAACTTACCCTTTTCAGGCTCCTATTGGTGTCTTAACTTTAATTCATTGAAAAATCTTTCATAAATGTCAATTTTTTAAGGTGGCCAAAATTCTCGTGTTGAAATTACAAAGCCAACAAAAACCAAAATACTAGCTTTGACCAATTTCTGTTCAGTTCATCTTAGAGTATCTTTATTGCTGGTATTGAAAGGCAACAGTTTCAGGAAGGAAAGACAATAAGATAATTATCAGTAAGAAAGGAGAAAGATGAGAAAAGCTGGGATTTTTCTGTCGTTTGACAGAAAATTATGAAAAGTTATGAAAGTTACGAAAAAGTTATGAAAACTTTTCACTATGAAGAAGTGCTAATGATCTAGATGCTAAATTTAGAACAGATAATCAGGAACAGAGTAAGAAATTGTCATGACAGAGTGAAAAGATACAAAGGGCTATTTTTTATTTAAAGGACGATTTCTCTTTTAGATGAGAATTTATGAGAAATTGAAGGTTCAGTATGGCCAGAATAGACAGTATATAGCTTTAATAAGTGAAAGAAAGCTCAGCTTATAAATAGTTTATACATATAGGAATCAAGAAAAAAAGAAACCTTTGCTCCTCTAAGAAGAAGGAAATCAGATAACTAGTACTCTCTGGGCTTTTCATTCTGTGATCAACACAAATACTTTGAGCATGTCATGCATAAGAGAACCTCCCAGGTGAGAATACTAAGAAAGACCAGAGTAAAGGAGGCCTGGGAACATATTAATAAGTCAATTTTCATTTATTCTTAGGGAGTGACCCTAGTATGTAGCTGCATTAGTACAAGAGCTTTTGAAAATGTTCATTACTCTTTTCCTGTAAGAAATCTGCCAAACTGGTGTAGTTATTTTTCTTCATTCTTATTTGATGATGTTTGTGTATTTTGTGAGAGCATTCTCCCTTGTAATTAAGGGCAGCTGAAGACAGTAGCAGGTTATATATTGTCTTCTGTGTCTGTTATTGTCAGAAAAATATTACATGGGAATCCCAAGTTCATCAGTGGAGGAGTGTTCTACACTGGGCACAAACTCTTACATTTCTACTTCTGTTGTGGCTTATCTGCTTTTCCTCTGTTTTCTGTGACTCTCTCAGTCTCTGATTCTGGCACTGCTTCAGCATTCCATCATCAACTTTTCCTCTTGAAACCCTTGTCAGCACCTGCTTACTCACACCATTTTTATTTTTTTTTTTTTTTACTGTAGGCATTTTCTCCCTACCTATCAGTTGTTTTCCACAAGTGACTTGTGTGTATGTATGTTTTGTTTGAGAAAACTTCTGTGACTCAATTTTTATCCTCTTCTTGCATTATTAATGTCTTTTACTGTCAGTGAAATATGTTGACCTGATAGTTCTAGTATTTCTAGAAGTGTAAGTAATAAGTGGCTTCTTGAGATCACCTCAGTAAATATACACAACACAAAAAAGTATAGGGCTGTTTCCTACAAATAACAATTGTTTTTATTTTCTGTGGGTTTCCCTATTCCCTACATGAGGACTGAAGTGTGAAGCTGGATAGATTTTGTCTTTGTTGTTTTTCCCCAGTATATTCTTAAATTTATATGAAAAATATATATTTGAGGAGAATCTGGAAACTTCAGGGGTTTAACAAGAACCTTAGTTACACTTCTGAAACTCATTCCCACTTGTAGTATTTGGTATAATTTTCTTTGCTTGATGTATGTATTATGTTTGTAGTGGGGTTTTTCTACCATATCCTGTAGGGATTTTTCCCCATGTTCCAACTGTGTGCATGAGTACATTGAGAAGTTACTTTAGAACTTTTAAGTGCTATATAAATAGTTTTAAGAGTAATTATCCAGTTTAAATTAGATTTGTGTTTCCAAACAATTTAAATGTATTAAAAATTTCACAGTTTACAACCACCTGATTTTGAGCAAGAAAAACGTTTTTTAAAAATATGCTACTGCATTGAATAATGCGTTTTGCTTTGGCCAAACAAAAAAGTAGTGGGTAGGTGATGTTGTAATTGGTAATATCTGCTAGTATGAATTTTGCAAATGAAAAATACATTTTCATAAATGCTATTCAAACAAATGTGCATGTTTCTAAATGGTTCATTTATTATGTTAGTATATGCTGACTATTTAAAAGTATAATTTTCTTCATTTAAAATTGTAGAGTTCGTTTCTTATTGGGTGGACGTCATGGAGAATTTAAATTTCTGCCCCCTGCTGGCTATGCTCCCTGTTTTGAAGCATTGCTTCCAAAAGAGAAGATGAAACTGGAACCAGTGAAAGAATATAAGAGAGATTCTGATGGAGTGAGGGATTTGCTGGGTACAACACAGTTCCTCTCCCAAGCTTCCTTTATCCCTTGTCCAATAGACACCAGTCAGGTATGTTAAGTATGAAATAGTGGGACTGTAAAATATGTCTTAATAAAATTTAAATTCACAATATAAAAACTAAGCTAGTTTGCCCTCTCTCTTAGCAATTCATCATTTGTGTGTTGTGGTGTACTTAACTGAACTAGATTCATTCTAGTGAAGCTACTAGTTTTAGTAGACTTGAATCATCAAGGTGTGGTGACTGGAATCTTTTCTTATTTGTCCAATTGTTATGCTCTTTTCTTAGATTGCTCTTCCTTTTCATCTTGAAAAGATCAGGGACAAACTAGCTGAAAATATCCATGAACTGTGGGGAATGAATAAAATAGAACTGGGCTGGACATATGGCAAGGTATGTTTTAAATGACCTGTCTGGGTACAGTCAATTATATTCAGTTAAGTTTCCTACCAGAAAACCTGGACTTGGAAGTTGAGCAGAGTATTTTGTGGTCTCGACATTACTAACAACAGATGAACACATAAGCTGGCAGGAGGCAGTGGTACAAAGTAGTGATTAGTAAGCAAATTTGGCCTATAAATAAGGTACAAGTTTTAGCACTATAAGTAATTAACCATTTGAAAAATATCTTAAATGAGAAACATGCTAGCTGTATCAAGAAGGTATTCCACTGAAAATCATACCAATAGTGAGTAATCCTTCAACTCTTTGGTTACTTCAGTGCTGAGGATCAAAGAGACAACAAGCAAAAAGTCTGTTGTCAAAATTTATTGGTTATAGAGACAAGGCTTTGGAGACTTCTGTAAACATACGAATTCCTCAAAGCTCAAGTTTTTTTATTTAATTAGTAAGAGTTAAAACTTACCATTGTTACGATCCCTTAAAATGTGGTATGACCTAACAACTTGAAGAGAGTAAGGCATCTGCTCAACTTCATTTAAATGTGTATGACAAAGCATTCCTTCCCCAATGGATGTTACCAAACGAAAAACAGTTAAAAAGGTAGGTGAAGAATAGTAAATTAAATTCAACAATTATAATAAAATCGGTAACTTCCCCTAGTAATATAAAGTTCTAAAGGCTGTAATAGGCCTTGAATTTAGATTGTTTAATCCTGTTGCTTTTTAAATTTAGGTTTACTGGGATAGTGGTTCATGTGCCCAACACGACTGTATCATAGTTCGGAAGAATCTTATTCCTTCTCTTATATTCTTTTTGTTTATGGACTTGGTTTACCTTTTTGTTCGATAATTGTATCCTACTATCTGCTAAAATGTCATTGTTATTAAAATTCTGGGTTTTACTAACATTTTTAATATTTCTGAGCTTTGGCAATTGAAAAATGTTTTTGCATACGAAATGCCTCTTAGTTGCCATCAGGAAGAAGCACTTGGCATTGAGTGAAAGAGCTTGTTTAATTAAGTCAGATAAATATTCAAAGACTTCTGTCAATATCCAAAAAAGAATGCTCCGCTTTATTATTCCAGCAGAATCTCAGAAACATTATCAAGTGATTCTTGAAGGCTTTTGAATCAGAATATATACAATGAATCAGAGTGTGCTCTGTTGAGGATATAGCTCAGGCATTCAGCACAAATGTTCATTGAGTTTATAGGCTTACTTTCTTATGTTCTGTGTATTTATGCAGAACACATTAAATAGCTATATTTTTTCTGATTTTGTCGTTTATGGAGCAGTACTTAGTGTGCATTATAAATGAATCATGGGGAAGTTAATTTATATAATGATGAGTAACTCCTTAAGGAAAGAGAAATGGCATTATTTGCAATGTCTTTATTATTGCAAAGTATTAACTGAGTTTTTACTATGATTCTGGCCTGAATCTGGTATCAGGAAAGTACTCTTTTCTGTGGTTTTGTTACAGATACGGGATGATAATAAAAGGCATCATCCTTGTCTTGTGGAATTCTCAAAATTACCTGAGACAGAGAAGAATTATAATCTACAAATGTCAACTGAAACCCTCAAGTAAGCTGTAAATTTAAAAGAAAGTAAACTTTATTTTTTTAATTTTTATTCAAGCATTTCATACTGTTGTAAAATATAAAAATGTTAGAACATCTCGTTCAGAGTATGTTCTGCTAACTTGGCTGGAATACATTTTCAGGAACACATTCAGAGTGTTTTAGAAAAATCTTGGCTCTACAGCTATATGAATGAAAAAATAACACCAAATCCTGTTGCTTTTAATAGTGTCAGAACTTTCATGTCATCTATTTGTACACTTTTAGGTTTGAAGGGTTTATTAGCTGTTTTTGATAAGTTAAAATATTTGGATTTTGAAATGTCATTATTGTGAATTACTTTCCTGTTTTTTTTAATACCGTGTGTATTTATACTAAACCCAAAAGAAGTCTATAAAATGGATGAGCACTATAATGTTGTGTTTCACTGCTACTGTTTTTTTTTTTATGTTGGCAGAACCCTTCTGGCCCTTGGATGTCACATTGTTCATGCTCATCCAGCAGCTGAGGAAGATCTTAAAAAAGTAAAACTTCCTAAAAAGTATGTACCTTATGAAAACTATTACATATTATTTGTAACTACACGGTATTAATTAAATAAAAATATTCTAAGTTCATTTTAAAAATACTTGAAAAGAAACACATACCCGGATGGATTTATGGAGCACATGGTTGGTCCACTACCTTGCTTGTGATGATGGTTGACTGTGAATATTGGTGCGTTACATGCGTGACCTTGTGGAGCAATTCACAGATAAACAGTCATATGTTTAAACCACGTGCAATTATATCTGTCTTAGGTGGCCTTAGAATAGATACTCTGAAGTTAAAAGCAACATTTTAGTGCTTTTCTATCACATAGCAAAGAAAAGTACATCTGTATAATGCTAAATGAATCTACTTGAAAAAGGGTATACCATTTTCTTATCTAATTGCACCTGTCCTTCCCTTCCTTCCAAGAAATGATTTGTTCAACATACACATTTCCAGAAACGTTATTAATGCATTTATGTAAAGAAGAGAAAAAACAGAAAATTACTCTTATAATGTTGCACATTTTCGCATAAAATACTATCAGTTTTTTGCTATAACTTTTATTTGATAGTTAAACTATGGCAGTCAGAACTAAAGCAGTAGAATATTCTTTTTTATTTAATATCCTTAAGTCATCAGTAGTAATTGCCCCAAAAGTGGAAAAGATTAATCAAGGATTACATCTGTATTTTAGCCTTGTCTGTGAGGATTCTGTAGTCCTCCCAGGACAGATTAAAGCCCCGTCCTGCAATAAAACTTGAAGACAGAAACAGTAATTTGGATACTTGCCATTTCGCAACAGTTTATCAACCCACAAGATGTCAGTTTTTTTCTGGAAACAGCTTGATCCAGGCAAAACAAAGATATATTTTAAAGGGAGTACTAAAATCAGTAGTTTTATGGTATGGGAGATGGTAATTTCTTGGTCTAGTTGATGGCATTAATTTAAAAAAAAGGAAAACCAAACCTTTCCCAAGGTTTGTACTGCTGTGAGTCTATTGTAATACTACAGTTGAAGTCTATTGTCTTCAATAAAAAAACAAATCTTTGTTTCTGACTCTTGTTAAAGTGTTAGTGATAGTTGTAATATAACTTCAAGATATGCTGGGGAGATTTAGGTTGGCTCTTAGGAAAATGTTTTTCACTGGAGGGGTTATAGAGCTCTGGAACAGGCTGTCCAGGGAAGTGATGGAGTCGCTATTCCTGGAGGGATTCAAAAGACATAGATGTGGTACTGAAGGACATGGTTTAGTGGCGACCTGGCAGTGCTGGGTTAATGGCTGGACTTAATGACTTTAAAGAGCTCTTCCAATCAAAATGATTCTATGATTCTTTTAAAATTTAAATTTAAAAGACAATTTTAAATACCATCAGTGGGGTATCTTGACTCTCAGTTCTCATATGTTGGCTTACAGTTACATGATGTCAAATGGATATAAACCTGCCCCTCTTGATCTTTCTGAAGTGAAATTGTTACCTTCTCAAGAATTTCTAGTTGACAAACTAGCAGAAAATGCACATAATGTCTGGGCAAAAGACAGAATAAAGCAAGGATGGACCTATGGCATTCAGCAGGTAAGGACACCTTTAGATGCATTTGGAATAAGTAAAGAACATCAGAATTTGTTTTCTAAAACATCAGCTGGAAGTGTTAAGTAAGAGGATAATAACTGTCATGTTAGGTCTGGAAAAGTTAGAGCAGGTAGGGATCAGGAAAAGTAGCCTTGCCCATGCAAGTCAAAGTAGATTGGTAGTCCTGCATGGCTGCAGATGCAGGATGTGTGAGAATATATTTCCATATTTCTTTTTCATTCTTGTCTTCAGGTTTTTAATATCATGAACAACTGGGCTTGCATTCATAGAACTATTCTTCATCAATATTGTTTCTCTCCTGTAATCTTAACATTATTTCTGAGTACACTCTGTCTCTGTGATAAATATCTTTGTGATATTTAGGCACAGTTTTCATCTTGTTCACCTTTATAACCCCTTTTAGGATCTTAAGAACAAACGTAATCCACGGCTAGTGCCATATGCGTTATTAGACGAGCGTACTAAAAAATCAAACAGAGATAGCCTCCGTGAAGCTGTGAGGACATTTGCAGGCTATGGTTATAGTGTTGAACCACCTGACCAAGAGATGGGTATGTACTTCCAACAAGAATCGTGACTTTTTTTTTCCCTCCGTGCTGGAGAAAGAACTTAAAACACTGAATAGATAGGGAAAACATGTCATATGAATGTTATAATATGTGAATCAATAGTAGTGTATTTTTGTAGTGGACTTTACTGAAAGGTGCTAATATACTTTCTAAATTATGTAGATACATTCGTTTTGGTTGTAGTTAATGACATGATAATTCTAATTTCCATGATTGGAGAAAATCTGGAGTCTGAGTGGACATACTGGTTTTCATTTGGAAATAATGAAAGAAAGAAAATAATATAAGATTAATTTAAAGTATTTTTTTTACATGGTATGCAGATTTGGTTTGATTATTTCAAGTCAAACTCATTTCTTAAGAATTAGTCAGTACATCAAGTTTTATGATTTTTTTTTATGGAAATCGATGTTTCTTTGTATTTGCTATACCACTGCAATTTTTTGACAAAAAAACACACTGAAACAAAGCATTTAATATCATTAAAAAAAAAATAGTTTCAAATGTATTGACTTCCATAGGAAAGTATTTTCTTGTACTGTAATACTGCATTATTGCACTGGATTGTATTGCATGTAGTAATCTTACACTTTTGAGGTTTCCTGTAATCAGTTTTGTGCTGGAGGCTCTGCATTGATTGATACTTTGAAGTATTTTGATTTTAAATAGCAGGTAATCTCTCATCCTGTATAGAATTAGAACATGCTAGCCTCTCTATGCTGATTACTGTTCTCCTTTACTGTGAAGGTGCTTAAACACACAATGGTAGATAATGACTAGTTTCAGTGATAGAAAATACTGAAGGCAGATGAAACGCTGAACAGTGGCATTTTAGTTTCACTTAGTTATCAAAGGTGGATTTTTTCCCCTCTGTTTATATTTACAGCTGTCCAAACAGTGGAAAAAGTCAGCATCGACAAGATACGATTTTTCAGAGTAGAACGATCTTACGCGGTGAAGTCTGGAAAGTGGTACTTTGAATTTGAAGCTGTGACAGGTGGAGATATGCGTGTTGGCTGGGCCAGGCCAGGCTGCCGGCCTGACGTAGAGCTGGGAGCTGATGACCAGGCCTTTGTATTTGAAGGAAGCAAAGTCAGTACATCTCTTTTTCATTCTTCTTGAACTATGAACAGACTAGGCAGAAAATGACAGTATAGGTTTCCTCTGTATAATCCGGATCAACTCCTGGAATATTTTTGAAACATGTAAATATATATTTGAGTTCTTTTTTCATGCTGGAGAGTGTTTGCATTTCAGTTCTGGTGACTGAAATTATTCTAACAAAGGTGTGTTGGTTTGTATTTAACTTAATAGGATATACCAAACTGAGTAAGTCTGTCATAGGCACAAACAAAATACAGCATTCACTTCCTTTTTTTTTAATAAGTGGTGGTTTATGGAAATAAAACAAAGTTTCTTCAATGAGAACCACAGTTCTGTTTTCCCTTTTCTGTCTTCTCAGCTTTCTGCCCATTCTTTCTTCCCAGACTTGACTCCTAAAGAATGATAGTGACACTGCATGTGAGAAGTGGAATCTAGTGAACCATGGTTATCACCCAGGTTCTAAATTGCTGAAGTTAGGGTGCATTAGTTTCTCTGTGTGAAAAGACTAAAATAATAATTAAATTCATTACCTCAAAACCATTATTGATACTCTTTGCAAATTGCTTTGAGATCCTTGAAGTACAAATATCTATTTTTCATTTTTCTTTATTTTGTGATTTTTTTTAAAAAAAAAAAATTATCTTGGTGTTTATTCACTTGTTTGGGTTTCTTCGTTTTTTTTTTTCTGTTTAGGGCCAGCGTTGGCATCAAGGCAGTGGATTCTTTGGACGAAGCTGGCATCCAGGAGATGTGGTTGGTTGTATGATAAACTTGGATGACAAATCAATTATCTTTACTCTGAATGGAGAGTTGCTTATAACCAGTAAAGGTTCAGAACTTGCATTTGCTGACTTCAGCATAGAAAATGGTAATTTTCTTTTTATAGTTACAAAACAAACCCCAGAAAAAATAGTTTCTTATAACAGCCTAGTAAGCTGAGAAATCATATTTCACTGTTGTGAGCCTTCAGACTGTACTACACATTAACTTCATAATATTTCACTTAAGAGTGTTTATATCGCATAAATTGCTTTTCTTTTATTTCCTTTAATAACTAGTAGATATTAATGGGATTTCAGCAATCGGAATGGGTAAATTTTTTTCAAGACTTGCTAGGCTTACTCACAGGACTGAACTTCATCATTAACAGATGGTAATAATAAGCACCCTGAAAAATTCCCAAAAGCTGAAAATGTAGCCTCTGATTATCCCACTGGGGCACACATGTATTATGTTCTTGTCTATGAAGGACTAAATAAGTACTATGTGGTCAGAGGTTGCACCAAAAGAACAAGTATTTGCAACATAAGCTGAGTCTGATTTGGAATTATTTTTTTTTCCTCCATCCTATGCAGTCCTTATCTTCATTTCTCATTTTCCTCCTCTGTTTTTCACCTTTGCATTTATATCAGTAGTATATACACTACTGCATTGAAGGAGGCAGGGAATGTCATTGAACTGTTTGTTTTATTTTTCAGTTGACATTTTCTTTGGAAGTATATCTCCTCCAACCAGTAGTAGCTTCATACCTGTTAGTAATTGCCAGAAGACTTAACAGTTGCTCACTGTCCATCTTTGGTCTGACCTTGGTATGGCTTTTCTAATGGTAGAGAATGAGGGACTGGCTTAAAAGAGCTTCTCTGAAGGCTTGAAGTTGAGGTGTAGGAGAGAAAATTTCTCCCTTAGATGTTGAAGTGTTTGCTTTTCCCTGAAGTTGCTCCAAGTTTATTTCATGAGAGATGGAGAAATAATTCAACAGCCTTACACACCTTTCTGTTGACTGCTACAGTTACATGGAGACCAAAAAAGTTCAGTCATGAAAAATGCCAGCATTAAAGAAGTGTGTATTTGTCCACTATGAATGATGAAGGGATGAGGGTTTGCAACAAATTTATGGCTATTGAGATGACAAACTAAGTTTTAAACAGGTGCACTGAGATACCTGAACCTCATCTCAAAGTGCTTTTGAAACTTTGTTGCCCTCAGAAAGCACACTTACCATTTGTTAAAAACTTTGATCTAGCCAAGGCTGTGTCCAACTCATTGTACAAAGGTGGTGTTTTTCTTCGAATAAACGAATAAGTGACTTGCACAAATCTTGATTTTTCAAATCTGATTGTCCACAAAACTACCTGTTGTCATTTTTGGTTTGTTTTTCACACAAATCCACCGCTACTTACTAATAACGATTGCTAAACTGGTTTAATGTTCAAATGAACGGGGTAGTGTGTGTAATATTAATGAATTGCCAAAATCCTCAGGGGGTTTGGTAGCAATTTTATTGCACTTACACATTAGCATTTAAGGTGGCTTTAGCTCTTTGCTACTGTCATCGCCTCATGTGCATTACTTGCTGGAGCTAAAGTTTAGTTCACATCAGATGGATCAAAAAATAGGATGCTTGTGTTCCTAAAATAAATTACTGTTGGGTTTTTTGTTGTGTTGTTTTATTAGGTTTTGTTCCAATTTGTGCACTGGGTCTATCTCAGATTGGTCGTATGAACCTTGGAATGGATGCCAGTACATTCAAGTATTATACAATGTGTGGCCTTCAAGAAGGTTTTGAACCTTTTGCTGTCAACATGAACCGAGATGTTGCTATGTGGTTTAGTAAACGCTTACCAACATTTGTCAATGTGCCAAAAAATCATCCTCACATTGAGGTAACTTTACATGTTAGGGAGACACCTGTTTATCAACTGTTTGTTTAGCAAGCTGAGACATTAAACCCTTACTAATACTTACTGTCATCAAATACTTTGTCATATAAAGCTATTAAGTCACTCTTAGATAATTCCAGATGATCTTGTCTATCTCCAACTTCATCTACTGGTAGTATTACCATTCATATGTTTATACCTATCTGTTCTATTATATGTCTTACTAATTTATGTTGTAGTAGTTAGCTACTTAAAACATGTCAGTTGTGATTTCTTAGAACCACTTTTTATATTCCATCTTACATTCACTTTCTTTTTTTTAAAATCTTCTCCACTACATTTTTCTTAAATAAAAATTGTTCAGCTGAATTCAGCATCACTCAAGGTATTGGAAGTGTGAGCTAAACAGAGACTGATTTAGTCCACTTCAGGAATTCAAGCAAATCATTGTGGAATATATTAATATGGAACATTTTATACAAAACATATGGTATATTATTCTAGGCACTGTTATTCTAATACCATAGGGTAATTATTATATAGAGCAGATTAGTTAGGGAGTTGTCAAATTCCTCACTGCTCCATCTTAAGAATGAATGAAACAGATATCACTTAGCAATACCACAGGTACACTTAAATGTCTCTCAGATTACTCAAGTGGATTAAATCAGTCTCTGTTTAGCTCACATTTCCAATATCTTGAGTGACGCTGAATTCAGCTGAACAATTTTTATTTTTTACTATAATCCCTAGACCATTTACTTTAGTTTAGATGCTTAGCCTATTATTCTCTAATACTTGTCTTTGAACATCTCCTTCTTAAGCAAAATACACCTCATTGAACTTCAAGTAAATGTTTTCAGCATTTTTTCAGTTTATCAGGATTATTTCCACTGTATTCCTGTCTTTAAAAGTTTATTAAATGTTCCTATAACAGGGTTTAAAAGCATCCTCAGTTTTTCAGCACAAGGGAAAATAATAATATTGGACTCAGATTTCATAATGATCATCTGAAGGATTCTAATTGATATTTCTCCTCATTGTGTTAGAAAACTGATGATTCTTGTGAAGGGATTTTTCAATGCATGTGTACCTTAAATGAATTGATTTAATTAAATATATGCTGTGTGGAACATATTTAGAATAGTCAGGATATACTGAATCTCTTGCTTCCCTTTGTCTTCAGGCTAGATTCCCTGTCAAAGAGCAAGTTAGATAGTTTTGAAATCAATTATGTAAAATTTAAGTTGGTTCTTTCAGTTATCTCATCCTCCAGTTGCTTAATGAAAGTTGTCAGCATTTTTCCTGGAACAGTGTTATTTTGAAATTATTTCTATTATTTTTAGATATGGAGAATTGATGGAACCATCGAGAGTCCACCTCGGTTAAAAGTTACTCACAAAACATTTGGCACACAGAACAGCAACTCAGACATGATATATTGTCGTCTGAGCATGCCCATTGAGTTCCGCTCATCATTCAGCTTTGACATGGGTGTGGAAAATGCCTCATCTGATGTTTTCCAGAAAAGGTTAGGCTTGGCTTTAGATTTTCTATTTCATGTTCTCAGTGTAAATGTAATATGTTCTATTGTGCTTTATTATTGTACGCTGATGCTTGTTCCATACTTGGTTTTGCACTGAGCACACTTTAGCATAGAATGTTACTGCTACACAGCATGTTACCAAGATTTTTCTTTCTTGATGGTTTTAATAAATTTAAAACACAACTTTGTTGCAGAATGCTATATCCAGACAAGAGAGAATCAGTTCTGAAGAGGTGCATCTCAGAGTTTGTAGTTATTCATTGCTAAGCAGCTACTATCCCTTCGAAATCATTGGGATTGGCAGAGCTCTTCAGCCAGGCTGGAAAACCAGCTCAAAAGCTTTTGCCCACTGGATTAATGCTCATAGACATTATTGTTCAATAGCTTATTGTTACTGCAAAAATGAATAATCCATGCAAAAGAAAAAAATATATTGTGTGAGATTTTTAAAGAGACTAGGTACTACTGAGTTCATCATCTTCCAGCATTGCTTTCATCTTTAGTTAATTGCTGTAAATTTATCTCTTCTCTGCCCTAACAGCAATCATTTTGACTGTATATTTGTATCCTGTACAGTCTTTACAAACTTAATTTACTCATGCATACTAAGTACCCACCAAACATGAGTTAGCTTGTAAGTGCACTTAGTTTAAAAATTAATATTTTTTTTTACTACTTTTTTTTACCTAATTTACTGATGTTCCTCTATCTTTAGAAAACACAGCCAAGAAATTGCTGCTGCTCCTACTACAGTAAGTAAATATGTTGAGATGCATAGTTCTTCTTATTTTTGAAATGTATTTAGTCATGGCAGCATGTTCATTAGAAACTGATCTCTTGAAAGAAGCCTTTTTAATCATTTGCTTGGATATAACACTGTATATAAATAATAACGCTCAGAGCTGTGTGACTTGAGGCATATATTTCACTATCTTAAACAGCTGTTCTGTTTTTTTAAATTTATGAACATTTTAATAACTTAATAAGAGAATGTGAGTTACTGCGAAGTTTTGACAAAGTCTGATCTATAGGAGTTTTTTTTTTAAATCAATATTTGAGTATTCCTTGACAAAATAATTAAGATTTCTGTTAATAATATGTTTTTCTTCTCTTTTCAGTGTTTTTATTCACTACGAATATTTGCTGGCCAAGACCCATCCTCTGTCTGGGTTGGCTGGGTAACACCAGACTATCATTTTTATAGTGAGAATTTTGACCTCAATAAAAACTGTACAGTAACAGTTACTTTAGGTGATGAGAGAGGCAGAGTTCATGAAAGGTATGGATTTATTTATGACTTATTAAAGATTGTTTTTTAATATTATTGGTCAAAAGTGAATTCTTCACAAGCTTGATGATATTTGAAACATGAACTGAAGATTCTAAAACTAATGAGAAAATTGATTATGGAGTAGGAAAGTTCTGTGCGCATTCATATGTTTTACATAGACTTGTTAAAGTGAGTATATTTGTCATTATTATTCTGTTTATAAGAATGTTTTCTGATGCTTTTTTTCTTGTAACATCCATTTTTGGTCACTGAATGAACCTGTTTGTTTTAATGTATCCTAGTCAAGTTCAGTGTGACCTCTGATTTGTTTTCTTTGTTGTTCATGCTGTTCTTTCAGTGTGAAGCGCAGCAACTGCTACATGGTTTGGGGAGGTGATATAATTGCTAATTCCCAGAGATCAGGTCGCAGTAATGTTGATTTAGAAATCGGATGCTTTGTTGACCTGGCTACTGGAATGTTGTCATTCACAGCCAATGGAAAAGAGCTTGGCACTTGTTATCAGGTATTATCAGATTGTCAGGACGCTGCCTAGTAAGCTGGTTGGTTTGCTGCTATTATATAATTGCTTTTTCTTGTTCTGAAATCTAACGGAACACTATTTGTGTGACAGTAACATGTTTTCCTGTATTATCCTATTTTATCCCTCCTTCTGTCTCTCTCTCTCTATTTTTCTCTCTTTTGTAAGACTTCATTTTCCAGCTCCTCACAGTTGTTTCAAATGTTGAGCTTCTATTAGTAGATATGTTCAGAAAAATATTTTTTTCTCTCTCAGTTCTTGTGGTTCAAAATCTTGATTTATCACATTAATTATCCTTTAAAATATTTTTGTCAACCAAATCTGTTATACAATATAGGGGGAAAATTATTTAAATAAGCATAGGTCAAAATTACACTATATATATAGTGATTTTTGGTACGAATTGAGAAAATAAATTCAGTTTGTTATTACAAGGATTTGTAACATCTGCAGATACCTATGATTTGGAGATCTTGTGTTTTGATAAGTTCAACTATACATTAATAACCCAAAAGTAAATGGGGTGGGCCCTAAATGCAATAAATGTTCTCAAAATGTGGACTCATTATGTGAATGGATCAGTAGCTGACAGAAGTTTTTGACACCAGATTGATGAGATATGCTTTTAGTAAGATCAGTTGTCCACAGTAGAGCATCCACTGTGGAAAAGATTATCCAGTGTTGGAAGCAGTACAATACTTCCTTCTGTATCAACAAAAAAACCACAAATAAGTACTACGGATAAAACTGTAATGTCATTCAGCTACATTTAATGGAACTTTGTATACTGACTCCATTGAACATGAATGTGACAGGGTTGAATGCAGGCTGTAAGTGGGGCTGGGGGATGATCTAGCAGCTCTGATTTTAGTATATTTTGTAAGAGTGGTCAGAGACTTGAGTGCAATGCTGGAGGGGATATTAAATATCAACATCATGGGAAAACAGGAGAACCCATGCTTCACTGTTTTTTTAGCTAGATATAAATCAATATGACAGCTTCTGAAGAAAACACTGGAAATTTGTTGGTTGTTAGTTCGTTTTTTCATGTAACAGCGTTTACCCATTTTTCTAATTTTGCAAAGAATTCTAGGAAAACATAGCTGTAAAAGATGGCTGCAACTGCTTTTAGTGTAAAAAGTTCCTTCAGGTTTTTCCTCTGATGACTTGCAATTAATGCAAACATGTTCTTTGTACTAAATGTAAAATAATCTCAGAAAACACAATTATTTCTCATTTATTATTTACTTTTATTATTTCTCTATTTCTTCTCTTTTCCATGGAAAAAATACCTGGAGTTGCTTTTGGAAACATTTTTCAATAAACCTATTGAACCTATTGGCACGTGGCCTGTTAAAAACTGAGAACACCTAACGCTTCCTGTAGAGGTGTAATGATATATTCCTACAGGAGGGTTATGTTAGAGGGTGAAATATTCCTCAATTTTTTCTTATTTTGAAAGTAGTTAAAATAGTCTTATGTAGTTCTAATTATTTTTACCATAAAATAAAATCTTTAAAATATTTTAGTCCATCTAATCTCTCAAGCAAATTGCAGCACGATTAATATTCTAACCTTGTAACTGTTTCCACGTTTCAGTTTTCTTAACGGAAGTAAAGGCACAATATTTGTACACTCTTTTCATGTTAATAGGCCTACAGGTCAACATACTGAGAGGAAATGAATTTTGCTCTAGTTCTTGATATAACTGATATAGTCAGAAACAAGTTCCACTGTCTATAATAGAAAAATAAATGAAAGATAGTGTATACATATATTTTGAGATTTTGTCATTAATTGTCAAGTCAATGTTAAAAATATTCATAGCAGAAAGGAGATCTTAAATCTTGTTTTACAAGATATTTTATTTTATTCTGAGTTAGAAATGGTTTTCTAATGGTTTTAGGGAAGAAGTTCTTCACTAGCAGGGTGGTGAGACACTGGAACAGGTTGCTCAGGCAAGCCATGGATGCTTCATCACTGGGGTGTTCAAGATCAGGTTAGATGGGGTCTTGCATAACCTGGTCTAGTGGGAAGTGTCCCTGCCTGTGACAGGGGGATTGGCACTAGAGGATCTTTAAAAGTTCCTTCCAACCCTAACCATTCAATGATGCTGATCTTCAAACAAGATAAGAAATTACAAATTCAATTATTATTACTAGGAAATACCTATCTTTGGTCAGAGGCTGGGAGTTACACAGTCTCAGTCAGTTAAAAGACACATTTTATTAATACTGGTTTTCAACTCATGGCACCCTTTGTTTCTGTATTTGGGGTTGTGGAGGTTTTTCCTTGTCAAAAAGATTAAAATATTATTAATATTTTTTTCTATCCAAATAGTCATATTTCTGAAAAAAACTTTATTCTACATACTGATTTTTCACTATATGGTTTTATTTCATATTTTGTTTAAGTTATGTTGTGTTTTGGAGCTGTTTTCTTATCTAAAAGGATATGGATTTTTTAATTTCTTTTTTGTGGCTCTTAGTTCATTGTTTTGCAGTTCATCATAGTTTGCTGTCCTCAAAGTCAGGAGATGGACTCCTTCACAGCATGAGTGACTGTACTTTGTATGTGAAATGTATGTGCATCGTACACCAAATAAACAATGGTGTCATTAAAATATTTAATTGAACTCCCCTTTTTTCAGCCACCCTGGAGCACTGAAATCAATTTAATAATATACTATTCTATAGTATCTTTTTAATTTTTTTTTTTTTTTTTAATGGAGTAGGGGCAGGTGATCTTGTTGAGAATTTTTCAGAATAAATTATTACTAGTCTGACATATACTTTGAGTCCAACTGTAGTGGGAAAATGAGGGTAATGTAGCTGTTAAAAAAATCCCATACCCAACCAGACACTTTAAAACTGCAGCACTGTGATTCAAGTGGGATTCACTGTAAGTTTATAATACTGGGGACAAATGCTAAGCCTGGAAACAAAGATATCTTTGAAATCTTTAAGGAAATTATAGTCTTCTGTTTTTGGAGTGCAGATCAGAAATTCACTAATCTTAACAAAAAATAAAGATTTGCTCTTTCACCCTCTTATCCCCTCCTGGGTTCCCTCTCAGAAATTTGATTTTGAGCTTTTTTGCTAGTGAATAATTTTGGCAGCCATAAAATGTGAAAGAACATTAAAAGGTGTTTGGTAGTCTAAAAAGCTGTATTCTAATCTGTGTTGGGACTACTTTTCCTAGAACAAGAGCCAAAATGTGTAGTGATAAAGTGGCTGGGATTTTTAAGGAGCTGCTCTAGAATGAGGTGTTTGATTTGGGTATGTTTGAGAAGAATCAATATATGTAGTGTTACCAACTTCTTGTTAGAAGTGTTGAGAGCACATGAGGCAGCATAAGATGCAGACACATCTGCCTGAAAGTTAGGTGGGTCTGTAAATATAATTCAGCAATTGCTATACAATGCCTGCATTTTTTTGATCATGAAGTTTAAGCTATGTAGTATTTATTTGCTACTGTATTGTATTCTGGGAGGAGATTCTTGTTGCTTTTTCTGTTTTATAAATTCCTTTAAAATCTCCTTTCTCTTCTAGGTTGAACCAAACACAAAGCTCTTTCCAGCGACTTTTGTGCAGCCTACGAGCACTAACTTGATTCAGTTTGAACTTGGTAAATTAAAGGTACAAAGAATTTTCTGTAAAGGTGCTTTTTAAAATCAGTTTATTTCCATGGAAATTCCTGCTCAGCTGGATATGTTTAGGAAGATTCAATCAATGATGTGATTTTTTTTTTTGATTTGCACTTTTACTTCTGTAAATATAATTACTATAGGAAGTGAATTGTTCAACAAATCTAAACTGCATTTGTCAAACTAAAGTTAATTGGGGAAAACACCTTTGATGGTAGCTTTTTGTAATGGTTTTTGTTTATTGCAGTAACTCGAGTTCTTGTCTATCATTAATTTAGACTTCTTTTTGTTTTTATGTTTATTCATAATTAGATGTTAAAAAAACTATTGTTATACTTACCTGTTTCAGAATACCATGCCTTTATCAGCAGCAATTTTTAAAAGTGAAGAGAGAAATCCTATTCCTCAGTGTCCTCCTCGCCTTGATGTGCAAACAATTACGCCTGTTTTATGGAGCAGGATGCCAAATAGCTTTCTAAAAGTAGAAACTGAGCGTGTCAGTGAACGTCATGGTTGGGTTGTGCAGTGTTTGGAACCTCTGCAGATGATGGCACTTCATATCCCGGAAGAAAACAGGTATATTTGGAAGGAACCACAAGGACCTGATGTGGACAAACTTCATTGAAAGCTGATATCAGAGTATTGGTTAAACCTGCCTTGGAGAATATTTACACTAGAGTTGCTTAGAATTTCTGATGTTATTTGCTGTAATATCATATTCATGAAATTTAGGTAGAAAAATGAGGCTGGATGACATTTGAGTACATAAAACATGGTTGTTTGATTTTATTTAAATTATAAAACAGTATCTTTTAAATCTCTAGGTCTTTAAATGAAGATATTTTCTCAGCCTGACAAAAACCAAATATAAAGAACATGCACGTGCTATTTTGATTTTTTCTTTTTTTTTTTTTTATGAAAACATGTAATCTGTTCCTGTTTCATCTGCTCTGCATTTATATGAATTAAGATTTTTGTTTGTATTGACAAGACCCTGAGTTTCTTAGATTTTCATTAGGTTTTAGCTTCAGAATGAGGTAAAGTAAGTTGTAACCAAATACCATAACCAGTGACAATTCACACTATAAGCAAAAGCGTAGCAGAAAGGTAATTTAACTGCTGTACTTCTATCAGTTATTGTGGAGCTTTTTTAATAATTTGGTTTTATTTACTGTTAATAAAACTGAATTCAGGAAAAAAGTAAAAAATACTGTGTTCTGTGAAAAAAATGAAATGGTGATCCTCAATAAATATAAAAGCACTATTTAGTGACAGTATTAGTGCAAAATTTCAGTATGCCAATACATTCCTTTTAAAAACAAGCTCTAATTTACCTTAACTTCCAAAGAAACTTCTCTATGCTATGTTTTACTTTTTGTTTTTGAGTACTAAGTGTAACTAATTTCATCAAATTATTAGCACCATTTACTGTGGTTTAATGATGCACATATTAAGGTTACTCAGTATCAGCCTTAATGATAATGGTTTAAATTGGAGCTGACCAAAATGTGCAGAGATGATGAAACTTTTCCTTTACAAAATTGTTCTTCATTAAATTGACTGGTGTTCTTTCTTTTTTTCATAACAGATGTGTTGATATTTTGGAGCTATGTGAACAAGAAGACTTGATGAAGTTTCACTACCACACTTTAAAACTCTATAGCTCAGTTAGTGCTCTAGGTAACACTAGAGTTGCATATGCACTTTGTAGCCACGTGGACGTATCTCAGCTATTTTATACAATAGATAATCAATACTTACCTGGACTCCTGCGTTCTGGATTCTATGACTTGCTCATTAGTATTCATTTGGACCACGCCAAGCAAGCCAAGCTCATGATGAACAATGAATTTATCATTCCAGTAACAGATGAAACTCGAACTATTAAACTATATCCTGATGAAACAAAGAAGCACGGTTTACCTGGAGTAGGGCTTAGCACTTGTCTGAAACCAAGCTTTAACTTTTCTACTCCATGCTTTATTGTGACCAGTGAAGAGCGTACCACTTGATACTCTTAAATCCAAGGCCATAAGTATGCTAACAGAGGCAGTACAATGTAGTGGTACTCATATAAGAGACCCTGTTGGAGGACAGGTTGCATTCCAGTTTGTTCCTGTCCTTAAACTGATAGCAACATTGCTTATAATGGGGGTTTTTGATGATGATGATGTGAAGCAGGTGTTACTCCTCATTGATCCCACTGTTTTTGGAGAGCATAAGGAAGAAACAGAAGAGAGGACGGAGAAAGAAGTTGTTACACAAGTTGAAGAAAAAGCTGTAGAAGCTGGGGAGAAAGCAATAAAGGAAACAAAAGCTCCTGCAAAGGGCTTATTGCAGACAAGATTACCAGAATCTGTTAAACTTCAGGTGACCATTTAATATAAATGCATTACATATGTTCTACTACTGATGAAGGAAAGGTAGTGCTTTTTTCTGTTCTCAAGTTATAAGGTTTGAAGGTCATTATTCCACTTTGACTCACATTAATAACCAACTTTGATGATGATGCAATTCTTTCTATGTATATCTGCACTGAAAATAGATATGCAAATACTTCCTTATTTTATAGGTGTGTTTCAAAAGAGGGAGGGTTGGACCTGGTGATCTTTAAAGGACTGTTCCAGCCCAAACTATTCTGTTATTATGTTTTCTACATATTTTGAGTACACAGAGTGAAACTATGTGAATGCAATATAGTATTGTTGATCAGATAGTAGAACTCTATAATTGTCACCCTTACAACTTTAAAAGAAAAATATGGGGGAAAAAAAGGTGTCTCATTTTTACAGTCTGTTTCAGAGTCTAGTGTCTGCTGCAGTTCTTCCCCAATTAGTTTGTTAATGTGTTGAACTTAATTCTGTTTAACTGTTGAACTTAAATCTGCGTTTTTTTCTATCCTAGATGTGTCATTTGCTCAATTATTTCTGTGACTGTGAACTACAACATAGAGTGGAAGCTATTGTGTCATTTGCAGACCGTTATGTATCAAAATTGCAATATAATCAGAAATACAGGTACAATGAACTCATGCAAGCCTTGAACATGTCTGCTGCTTTGACTGCCAAGAAGACTAAAGAATTTCGGTCTCCCCCTCAAGAACAGGTAAAATTAAACAAATGTCTGGAGCTACAGATGAAAAAAAAAAAAAAATTCCTTGTGATGATAAAGTCCTGACTTCTAAACTACCACTGTAACTCCTGGAGAATGAAAACTGAATTTGAAATTCAATTTATTAAGATGCCATAAAATATTGACTGTCAGAATGCTTATACCTCTACTCCAAAATGCAAGCTCTAAAGCAAAGTTAGTGTAGAATTTCTGAAGTGTAGAAAAAAATATTACTACCCAATGCAAAGGTGCTGAAATTCAACCTGCTCTGCAAGTTAATGATAATTTGATCACTTTAGCTGCTAAAAATTGGCAAGAAGTTGGTCTTGTGTTAGCATCTGCATGATGGAAATAATCTAACACATAATATACAGCCATACTTTACATGATAATAATCAAATTTATAATCAAATCAACATAAAACAGATTTCCAATACAGCTTAAAGGAAACACTAAAACGATGGTACTTTGTGCAGGGGCTGAGGAGGGGCGAG